GCGTACCGTGGGTGTCAGCCGCCCGGGGCGGAGGAAAATTTCGGCCCCCCTTATTTAGGTATTTCAATTTAAAAGACCAAAATTCGGTTTTGTCACAGAACAAGCAATGAAAAATTCGGTGGTAGTGCAGCGACCTGTTTAAAATAGTTCTATTGGATATTAGTGGTGTATATGAACGCGAATGAATCGTACAAGCAAAAAAAAAGGGTCAACAGGTTTCGTAGGATTTCTTCGCATAAAAAAATTACTAGTTCACCCGGACGGCGAGCCGATTCCCGGACTGTCCGGACGATAGCACTATCGTAAGCGCGATGCAAGTACAGTTTAGGATGTTTCAAATTTTTACATGATGTTATTATTATTTATTGTGAAATTTTGCCACCCTCACTACGGTACGCCACTGGGTTATTAATAAGTATTATAAAGATGATAAAACTGCCTTAATACTATATTATACAGTTAATGTTGACATTCAAAAATAATTAGTCTTGTAAATTTCTTCCTAGCGTGGTTTCCGTTTTGTCACTTTAATATTTGTATTTCTGCTCAGTCTTTGTTATAATCCACAGTTTTGTACTATTATACTGTATAATACAAAACATAGCACACGAACAACTTACAGAGAACAATTTCCTGCATGTTGTCTGCTTAATTTTAGATGTTATAATCAACGAATATCTTCTTCACAGTGCCAGAAGTGTATTAAGAGACATAAAGTCAAAGGAATTTTTATGCCATCCAATAGAGACATTACATAAATTGCTTATGGTTTAATAATCCATTATTTCAAAATCTTTGTATAATTTACAACAGACAAACGTGTACTTTATGATAACCAATGAAGTTTTGAATGTTGGTTGTTTGAACAGCTTGTAAATACGTTGTGAACTGACTTTACATAGAGCTTCACTAACGGCTAAAATTATTCACTTTTACATCACTTGCAAGGCATCATTTTTTACAAGATAAAAAAAAACTCTATTTTAAGATCGAAAGTTATCACATGTTCAATAAATTATTACCTAATTTTATGCAAATTATAAAACTTAACAGTCATTATACTGTTACTTTATTGCTTAGTGTAACTTCTCTTCGTTTCATTACTGGTAGATTTAAGCAATCTCAAATATCTTATAAATAAATTATAACTGGAGGTAAAATCCCAGTGAGTTAACAAGCATGCTTACATGTTGTAGGTGGTTTGTGTACCTGAACTTCTGTTACTAGCGCCATCTGGGGCTTGAGAACAAACTGAAAGTAAAAAGGTGGAGTTACTCTCCATATGAAACAGTAAGAAGAAGAAGAAGAAGAAGAAAGGTGGAGTCAGACACTAAGATAAAAAGACCCTGCTGTTAGTAGTTATAATGTCAATAATGAAACAGTCCGTTACAAGACTGACAACAACAGAAGCTAATTATATTCTTGACTTAACAAGTAACCCCAAATAAGAACAAACGAGACATGTTAGTGATTGTGTTTAAACTAACCTATTCTTAATAATTTGGCAGTCCTTTCTGGCTGTCTTCGTCTCTTGCTTGGAGATGACCGTCTCCTGGGAAGTTCTTTGGTTCTTTGCTCAGATTGGAAAAATAATAGGTACTACATCAGGTGTCAACGTCCATCTTTCTCTTATAATTTCTACAGTTTCTCCTTTCACAGTGAACGTGTCTCTTTTTTTTTCTTTTTTTTTTTTTAACTGTAAAACGATTTGCACTTCGATTATCAAAGTGCAAATCGCACATGGCATTTTGTCATCAATTTTGCCATCGATTCTAAGTAACAGTCTCTTACAGCAATCGAAAAACATTTTTTTTAAAGTAACATCATCTATTACATCCCAAAACAAAACACGACAGCATTGCTTGTGTTTTACTCGAAAATCAAACTAAAACTAACTCGATAGCAAAGTTGCCATTGTATACTGAACTGTTAGTCTTTGTAGGCCGAAATATTCCTCTATGAAATGCAGGAATAGAAAATGTCAGAAGGTTAGATAAAAAGACTCTGGCGTTGAATAGGGTATTTTAACTGCGATAACTCATACTTCAATAAATTTATTGTTAGAAACAGAATATTTAACTATAGAAAAATAATTTAAATTCGTAATGAAAATTAAATGAACAAAATAATGTATTTTATATTACGCAACGATGAAGAAAGAAAATTAATAGATTCTTATCGATATTTCAGAGTATCAATAGATAAATTTGATTTTTGTAGGTTTTTTAACTTTATATCCCTACAATGTAACAATAAATATTTAATATAAAGATAAAATGTTCGTTATATAAATTTTTTGTTAAATTAGTAAAATTAAAAAAAAAAACTATGAATTAAGAAAATATTTACAAAAACTCTTGTAAAATTTAAGAATTATTATTTTATTGATTTTTACAAAAATAAGTTCACTTTAAAATACAGTATTGATTAATTTCTAACAGTTTAGTTTGGTTTTCAAAGAGGGCGTGATGCGAGTCGTTTTCACGGAAGAAGCACGTGGTACATGTCAATTTTAAACAAAAATATCAGAAATTATTAATTTTTTTTAAGGCAGTAATATAATTTTTAATAAATAGTAAATGCAAAATGCCCAGAAATCGAAAGAAGAAGCGTCAAAAGATTGGAGTAAAAACTTGTGGAGATCCAAACAAAGTAATTTTATAATTTTGTTATTTTTTTTTATAAAACTTGCATAATTTTGCTTTACAAAGTGATAATGCATATGTATGCTTTAGTTTAATATTGTTCAATTACATTAATCAAAACCTGTTATGTGGATTGGTTCTCTATAAGATAGCTGTGATAATTAATTTAAATGTTTGTTTCTAACAATGAAATTTTGATTTAGTTACTATACATATTAATAGAAATATTTGCTGTAGTAAAAATTCAAAAACTTCAGTTGAAATTGTGTTAATAATACATGTATTTCAAGGTACAGTGTGAAATAGTGGCGTGTATAAAAAAAATGGGTTAAAGTGTACCTAGGTAACCCCAATGGTGGCACTTCGGTTAGGTTAGGTTAGGTTAGATTAACTATATTTTTAGTAGACGTTTCCTTTTTTTTTTTGTTCAAGAACTACCGTGAATCAATAACTAGTGACATTAAACACTCAGTGGCCTGCTGGCAGCTTCCCTCCAGGAGGAGTCCGTCAGGAGCATGAACAGTCGGAAAGTGCTGCCATTGGGGTTTCCTAGGTACACTTTAACAAAGAAATGAAATCAGTTTCCTTAACCAATCAAGAGATTTGAAAATGTTTCTATTACAATACATAGTGCAGGTATAATACTTCTTTATAATTATTTTATTATATCCAATATATACAGTAATAATGTCATTACTATGTAAAGTATAAAATTTCAAAACTTTGGGTTACTTGCGATTCAATGTATAGACCTTAGTTGTCTTATTCTAAATCCGCTAACTTTATGCTAATATCAAAATGAAGAAAAGAAGTAAAAATGTACTTTCAAAGTAAATAATCATGTGATAATAGATACTGAAGATTGTTGATGATGACAAAATAAAAAGAAAAAATGGACAGGCATGAAAATTAACATTAGTGACAAATAAATTACTCATGAGAAATGGACATTATCCATATGACAACTTTGTCATGTGTTGGCTGGTAAGTATAACCAGCTTGCTGTATTATTATTCAAGTTGTTAATATTAATAGATGTTACTGAAATAAATATTCAGAGTTTATTTGTACTCTGAGTGAAAATAGTAAAGTTGGACAAGTTTGTGATTCTTCACTTATAAATTGCATTTAAAAGGAGCAGTAATGTATAAAAAAAAATTTATTAATAATGATGATACAGTAGAGCGTCGATTATCCAAATCAATTGGAACTGGGGTTGTTTGGAAGATTGATGTTTCGGATAACTGATTATGTACGAAAAAATATATTAATTTATCCCACCTTGACATTTTTTTCCATCGCGTGTCACTTTGCATTGAATTTTCGTTGATGTTAAGCCTACTGAAGGCTGTTGTATCGTTAAAAATTATTTTTTTATTTTGTACAAACAAAATAAATAGAGCGTCGATTATCCAAATCAATTGGAACTGGGGTTGTTCGGAAGATCAATGTTTCGGATAACTGATTATGTACGAAAAAATATATTAATTTATCCCACCTTGACATTTTTTTCCATCGCGTGTCACTTCGCATTGAATTTTCGTTGATGTTAAGCCTAATGAAGGCTGTTGTATCGTTAAAAATTATTTTTTTATTTTGTACAAACAAAATAAATATATTGAAAAATATAAAAACAATAAAAAAATTATACTTCAGAAGTTAATTTAGTATCAAAAACGTAAAATATTTGAGTAGCCCAAGACATAGCCAAAGATTGCAGTGCCACAGCACTGGCAAAAATTTAAATTTGCCGACTGGAATTCTTTCGGATGATTGACTTTCGGATAATCGACGCTCTACTGTATATATATCAATCATAACAGATTGAATAATATACAGGATTGTTTGAAAGTAATTATGCAATGAAAATTGCTATAATTTTTGTAATAATAATGCAATTATAATAAAATTTGTGTGCATGTATGTCAGTCAATGGAATTTTATAATTCTTGCATCAGTGATAAGGGTAGCGACCAAGACATGCTGCATGCACAGTGGCAAGAAAGATGGCTGACTACTTGGTTGTTCAGGAGCAAGCACAAATTGCTGCATGCTATGAGATGTGGAAATCAGTGCTTACTGAAGCTTTCTTTATCTCTGAAATAAATGTGTCTACTTTGGGACATTTAGAATGTATTGATTCATACATGAAATGAAGGGCATTTGCTATGCATGAAATATGATTCAAGTTGACAAATGTTGGTTTTAAATTCCTGAAATCTGAGAGTATGTAAGGTGTTTGGTATATTTGGACAATCCAAACATTTTGGTACTTAATGCAATCCAGCACAGCTTTATGCAGGCATCATTAAATGCCTGCATTGCATGGATAGCATCACACTTTTGCAGCTTGTATATCTTTAATAGCATATCATCAACTGGTTTGCCTGTTAATGGGGTCATTAAAATATTCAAAATCAACTGTTTCATGTCATCTATTGTTGGATTTGTTTTTAAAATAAGTATTCCGTTGTATCTTTTTATTGTTCAAAATTGTTTTGTGTATGGAGATCCACACACAAATCAATTGAAAATGAGACATGGATCATCTCAAAAAATGTTTTGTCATATTAATAAAGAGATTCCTTCAATGTTTATGAGATTTTAAAATGACAAAACTCATTTTAAAATCTAAAATTGTGGTAAATCAAATTCTGTAAAACAATTTCTTAACAGTTGCTCAATTCATAAGTAAACTACAAGGAATGAATTAGAAAATTCCTCAACAGTGTCAGATATGTATATGGCACTTTTGTAATGTCTTTAATATGAAGGACAGTTGACTGATTGGATAAAAAGACAATTTCAGTTCCATTAAAAAAATTTATTGTAAGGTTAAGGAATAAAAGTCACATTTATCAATCTTTAAGCCAAGGACACTACCAAAAACAACTTAATCAAGATAAATGTGGTCTACTCTGATAATAAAATGTGAGACAACACTTCAGTTCCAAATTGTGAATGAACTTGAAAAATATAATCAATCTGAGCTTGATTTTGATGATGAAATGAGTTACTAGTCTAGGCCTATCACTAGAAACGTTTGCCTTGGAGGACCATATATAGGCTAAATTAAATCAGTCCCAGCTTATCAGATCCTCTACAAATTGGGATCACATCAGACTCTTAACAGTCCTTTGAAATACAATATTTAAAGCCAGCTGTAACTCCAATTGTATCAACAATAGAGATGAGATACAGCTATTCAAAGCATGTGGCCTGGTATGAAACATTATTATAGCTGGGGTGGCATAGTATAGCTCAATGCATGTCTTATACAGGCCTGTTCAACTTTGAATTCTGTATGTATGTTCAATTCGATGCATTCCAATTCAAAACAAAACTCTTTGAACCTGAAGCTGGAATCAGGTGGATTCTGAAAACATTTGTGAATTGCTACATTTTACATGTTTTGCTGTAAGCTGAAGAGGTTTAGTGGTTTGAAGACTAGTACATTCAATCTTAGGCCATTTTCACATGATCTGGATATTTGCGTGGACTCATTGGATAGTGTGAAGACATGCAAGTCTCAAAAGTCTCATGCTTCACAACTAAAGCAAATTGCCTTAGTTGAGAAACATAAGACTTTACACACCATATAGACCAGTGATTCCCAAACTTTTTCGATCCACTGCCTCCCTTTGTTCCATAAAGTTATACCCAACGCCCCTAACCCATTTTCTCTTGTGTGAGAAAGGATTGAAAATATTCTTAGGAAACTTTTGTATGAATCTCGCACTTTGTGCCCTTACCGTACATTGTTCTCAACATCTGGAAACCATTAAACACAATGTTTCCTCTTATCAGTTTAACAGAGGAAAGGGAATGGCTTTCAGTGACCCCAATTTTGCTTTTGGTCACCATTCAATGCCCTGCTTCCAGCGCCACCCTTTCAATGCCCTGCTTCCAGCGCCACCCTAGATTTACTCATCTCCCACAAGGGGGCGTTATTACCCACTTTGAGAAACGCTGATATAGATACTTGTATGAAAAGTTGTGCCTCTCAAGTCTCTGTTACTCATTTGGCTTACATTCGATGCCACGGTTTCATCTACCCATGCAAACATGCAGATCATGTGAAACTGGTCTTAGCAATAGAAAACTATTGATCTGATGAAAATCCAGGAATCCCTGTTGGGTGTGAATAAGACTTTTGGGACACCAGGGAATCATTTAGATCAGTGATGGCTAAACTTTTTCATATACTGTATATGTCAAATTAAGAAATTAAGGAGATTTTAGATGGGCCACAATAAAAATATATTACATATGTTATAATAATCCTAATTTATAGTACATGCACATTTTTAAAGCCATACAAAATTTAATACCAAAAACAAAAAAATTTATAATAATGCTTTCATTGTCTGTGAGAGTAATATTATAAATATGAAAACAGTGGTTTAGCATCTAGTGATGATCAGCTGTAAAACAGATAGTATAAAAGTAATTAAAAGATCTTCAACAGAATTTGTATATTTATGCTGGTTATGCAATTTATTTGTTTTTCTGTTGTTTATTAAATTCATTGTTTATCACAAATCTTCTAATTCGAATACTGGTGTTTTGCATACAATCGTACTTACTAAACCTTTGTTGTCTGGTACTTCTTAACTATTCGTGAAAACAAATGTTTTCGGCCTCAGTCAAGGTCTGCTTCAGGTTAAAAGGGACAATCGGATTCCGTTCTTACAATGAAAGTTTAGTTTTAAAATCTAATCCGAATACTGGTATTTTGCACAAAATAGTACTTACTAAACCTTTGTTGTCCGGTACTTCTTAACTATTCGTAAAAACAAACGTTTTTACGAATAGTTAAAGAAGCAGACCTCAACTGAGTTTACCTGAAGCAGACCTCGACTGTGGCTGAAAGTATTTGTTTTTACGAATAGTTAAGAAGTACTGGACAACAAACGTTTAGTAAGTACGATTTTATTCATTGTTTGAAAAAACTTTGCAATTATAGATTATTCCAGACTAACATATATATTTTTCAATAAATTTTCT